CTGTAGAGCTCATCAAATGGTCGAGGATGGATATTCCTATAATCATGATAAAGCTTGTGTAACCATATTTACTGCCCCCAATTACTGTTACAGATGTGGTAATTTAGCTGCATTTATGAATATGAATGGCACTAGCAATTACCAATTAACCCAATTTGAACCATCACCTGAAAACGAACCCGAGTTAATGAAAAGTTTCTCTGATTATTTTACGTTTTAAATAAAATTTCCTATTTAAATTCTTTTATTATTTTATCACTTACTTCTCTAGCATTCACTCTTGAATCATTTATATTTCCCGTTGCCACATCTGACCACCCAACTTTAAAAACTTTTATGTCTGTTTTTTTAATATCTGTAAAAAGTTTGTTATTAGGAATAAAACCAATGCTTGAAATTACATTATCTACTGTTTCTTTCAAGAATCTATTCTTAATTCTATATTTTACTGTCTTATCGTTTTTATTTTCACTTATTCCTTCCATTACTGCGTTAAATGTCAGTTTCAATTTAGGTTTATTGGAAAAATATTTTTTTATAAAACAAGGTTTGAATTTATCAATCAAACTAATCTTCTTGTTTGATTTAACATCATTTCCTGTATAAGAAACATCATAATATTCAAGTACCTTTCTTAAACTACTTATATCAAACTTAGATTTATCAAAGTCACTTCTTGATAAAATATTTACATTTTTAAACTTATTTTTAAAGTGAAGTAAAAGATCAAAAGAAACGTTTCCCATCCCTATAATCGTTACATTTGACAACTTTGTGTTGTTAATTAACTTCTTAGAATTAAACAAATCTCTTATTAAGTCGAATGCAGATAAAGTTGATTTTAAGGCATTATTAGGAATACCACCTGTAGCATCAACATAACAAAAATATTTATCTGATAAATCATTCATCTTAAATTCTTTTCCTAATAATAGTTTTACATTTCTACCAGTAACAATCTTATCAAAAATCTTTCTCTTCTGGTCAATGGCATATTTATAATGACCAAGTATGTCATTGCTTTTCTCAAAAATAGTTACAGGAAAATGTTTAGATAAATATTTAGCAGTAAATAATCCTGCTGGTCCACCTCCAATAACACAAACTGACTTTGTTTTAGAATTCATTTGTTCTGAAAAAATTTGAAATATTTTTTTATTCTTCTGATTTAAATTTTTCTTCTATTTCATCTCTTAATAATTGTAATTTTGTTATGAAATTATCATTAGCTTTTAAAAATTTCATTTGAGTCAATTCATAGAGTATTTTACTGGTTTTTGTTTTCAGTTCTGACCACTTAACTGTTTTAAGAGATGAAAGTGTGCATTTATAATAAAATGCAATATTACTTGCCATTTTTTTAGTCTTATCAAATGGACAATAATTGTCATAATCCGAGTATCCATTTTGTTGTAAAAAATCTTCTCTTATGATCTTATCTAGATCTAATATCATCTTTTCTATTTCTGATAAATTATTTCTACCAACTAACTGAACAATATCCTCAATCTCTTTACTATAGAAAAGTATTTCTTTAATCAAATTAATATCCTCTTTATATTTTTTATCAAAATTAAGAGTTGCTTGATATTTAGAATAACTAACTGCTACATCTATTGAAGGAAAATGTTTCCTTTGTGCCAACTTCTTATCAAGTCCCCAGAAAACTTGAACAATATTTAATGTTGCTGATGTAACAGGATCTGAAAAATCACCACCTGGTGGACTTACTGCTCCAATTATAGAAATACTTCCTTTAGTTTCATTTAAATTTAGACAATAACCTGCTCTTTCATAAAATAATGCCAATCTTGCACTAAGATATGCAGGATATCCACTGTCAGCAGGCATTTCTCCTAATCTTCCTGAAATTTCCCTAAGTGCTTCAGCCCATCTGCTCGTTGAGTCAGCCATCATACTTACATTTAAACCTTGATCTCTAAAATATTCAGATATTGTTACACCTGTATAAATTGATGCTTCTCTAGCAGCTACTGGCATGTTACTTGTATTAGCAATTAAAACAGTTCTCTTCAAAATACTTTCATTTGTATTATGAACTGTTAATTTTGGAAATTCCATTAAAACTTCAGACATTTCATTTCCCCTTTCACCGCATCCAACATAAACTATTACATCACTATTAGAATACTTACTTATACTTTGTGATATTACTGTTTTACCACATCCAAATGCTCCTGGTATTGCAGTTGTTCCTCCCTGTGCTACCGGATAAAATGAATCTAATATTCTTTGCCCTGTTAATAATTGATTTACTGCTTTTAATTTTTGTTTTACAGGTCTGGGCTCTCTAACTGGCCAAGTATGGTACATTTGTACTTTAATTATTTTACCATTCATTTCTATATCTGCTACATTTTCTTCAATTGTATAAAAACCTGCCATGGAAATTCTTATTATTTTACCACTTATTTTAGGTGATAATAAAATTTTACTTTCCATTAAACTATTTTCTTTTACTTTCCCAATTATTCAACCAAAATTAATTTCATCACCAACTTTAACTAGTGGTTCAAATTTATATTTTTTTGTTCGTGATAAACTTTGACTTACAATACCCCTTGGAATGAAACTATCTTTACTTATCTCTCGTATGTCAGTTAATGATCGTTGAATTCCATCAAAAATATTTTCAAATAATCCTGGTCCAAGTTCCACACAGAGAGGTTGAAATGTTCTTATTATAAAATCGTTGACTTCTAAACCTACAGTATCTTCATATACTTGTATTGTAGCACTGTCGTTTTCTATCTTAATAACTTCTCCCATCAACTTATCTTTACCAACCTTAACCAATTCATACATTGATACACCTGCCATATTCTTTCCTACTACAACTGGACCTGAAATGGAATATACATATCCTTTGATATTATTATTATCCTCAATATTCATGTCTTTTAGTAAAGCTTTTATAGTTGCACTTATACATTTATTCTCTCTATCAATGTTAAACTCGTTCATTTATAATTAATGCATATAATTTTTAAAAGGAAAATATTTAAAAAACAAACAAATAAAGTTTAAACAAAAACAAAAATTTATTAAAGTAAATTTAGAATATTCATTTATTCTTCGGCCATCACATTAACTAAGTCATCAATTGTAAACATTTTAGAAAGTTTGTTTTGGGTAGTTTGAATTTTAATCAATCTATCTAAGTCTTCCTTTCCTGTAATAAAATCAATTATAAAACCTGGTCTATTAAACCTACCTGTTCTCCCAACTCTGTGATTGTAAATGTCTTCTGATGTTCCAAATTGATCAGTTGGTAAATCAAAATTAATAACCAAATTGACATGTGGAATATCAATTCCTCTACTAAACAAATCAGTTGTTATAAGAAACTTAGTTGATCCTTTTTTAAACTCATTAAAAACAAGATCTCTTTCATCCTTAGTGGCATCACCGTGAATCATTGATACTGGAAATCCTTCATTTTTCAAATTACTAAAGACACTCTCAACTACTTTTTTACTGTTACAAAAGACTATTAAAGCTGAAAGTTGTAAAGTCTTAAATAACGTATTTAGTAACTCTAACTTCTTTGTAATATTTCTAGGTACTTCAACATAATATAGCTTAAGATTATTAGCTAACTTGTTGGTAGTGAAATTACATTCAACTTGATCATTGCATAACTTCTTTATAATATTCTGAGTTTTTTCATTGTAAGTGGCCGAGAAAAATACTTTTTGAGCATTTTTACACATGTTAAGTAATTGACCGGTTACAATCAAGAAGTTCTTTGAAGACAAAAGATGATCGGCTTCATCACAAACAATAATTTGAATGTTATCAGGATTAAGCTTATTTTGTTTAAATAAAAACGTTAGTGCACGTGGACATCCAACAATAACACTCTGGTTAATCACATCTTTGTTATCGCTAACTCCCTGACAATAAACAGTAGCACCTGAAGAATTCTCTGCTAATGCTTTTATCTCTGATGCCACTTGTACATTCAATTCTCTAGTAGGTGTAACAACTATAGCCTGTGATCCAGGTTTATTTAATAATCTGCCTAATATACCTACTGTAAATCCTATTGTCTTACCGGAACCTGATTGGCTATGAAATACTGAGTTACACCCACTTAGAATAACAGGAATGCATGTTTCTTGAATTTTAGATGGCACTTCTTTGTGTATTTTAAACAATCCTAATACAATCTCTTTGGGAACACCAAGTGATTCATAACTAGCTTCTGTAGACAAGAATTCCATACCTTCCTCTGTTTCATTTATACACTTTTCTTCTTTTAAAAACGTATCAATTAATTGTGTATTTTGCTTAATAGAATAATACAACTCTTTTGCTACATCCTTCGAACTTTTTATGTTTAACGTATTTAACATAGATGAAGCATCTAAATTAGAGCCTTCACTTGTTATAGATGAGCTATTAATACTACTATAATTACTATCAAAACTTTTTTGATCACTTCCATTGTTTGAATTCATGGGCATTAAAATATAAAAATAATTTTTTATTTGAATTAAAATTAAATAAAAATTACTTTTAATTATATAACAGTAATGTTTATTTCTTATCTTTAAAATGTTGATATTTCTAATAACAGACATTTATTATGCTGTTAAATTTTTTTATAAAAATAAAATTTGTTTGTTAAATTATACAAACATTTTTAATTTTAATTAAATACCTTAGTAGTAAATTTACTATAAAAAATTATTTTAAAATAATGTTTTTACTTTAAATTAATTATAAACAAACTTTTTAATATTTTTAATAAAAAATTAAACACTATTTTTAAGTCTAAATATTTTAAAAAACTAATATTATAATTTATTCTAATAAAAAATATTAAAATAAAGAAATCAATTTATTAATTCTCGTTAAAAACTAATAAGTCTAAAAATTCTTTAAATGTTTTCTCATTAAATCCTTTGTCATCGATTGTAAGATCTATTAAATTTAGTAAAATATTAAAGTCTATTTTAGGTAATAATTGATTAATAAAGTTAATGGAAGTTTGCGAAATATTATTGTTCTTAAAAACTTCTTCCAAAATCAAAGTTTTATCATCCTCAATTAGCTCTATAAAAATTATTCCATCAATTGAGATTTGCTCATTTACTAAATAAACACCACAACTATTATTATTTTTTAAAAAAGAATCAACTTGTTTAATTAATGAAAACGGTAAATTTTCAAAAATAATCATTTTTCTTTTTCTTTCAACCTGCCCTTGCTCCAACCAATTTACAATTTTACGATCAACTTCTGATTTTATATTATCACCTACATTTACGTTTGCATGAATATAATCAGGTCCGAGTACTTCTGAATTTATAATGTCAATTTCATCAAGAGTTAACGTAGTAGTCATTCTTTCATTTTTTAAACATTCATTTGATGGTATTTCAACAACCTCCGTATCAGGAGTATTCTCTTCCAAAGAAACACCTCTTCCCAATTTTTTAACAATACCAAAATCTTTGTAAAACATTATTATATCACCTACAATAACTCTTTCCCTGTTAAGTTCATTAAGAAACTCATTTCCAATCTCAAATTGTGATTCCATGTCTGTTGTCTTCAATTGAATTGTATAGTCTGTAATACCAGTTATTTGCCCCTCCACAATTCTTAAAGTGTCTTTGAATTTAACAAGTACAGATCTTCTAATTAACTTACCTAATTTTTTAAAATCAATACTCCCATTTTCTTTGGAGATGATTTTTTCTCCTGTTATCACCATTGAATTATCCAAATCATCATTAAATCCTGTCTTAAACAGATCAACACCCCTCACCATTACTGACTGTCCTTTCCCCAGACATTTTTTGACTAGTTCAATCTTTATATTATTCTCTCCAGAAGAGACACTATTTTGGATTCTGTTTTGTTTTCTAAGCTTCATGGGACAAAAAAATCAATTGACTTTTGTTTTCATTGGAAATTTTCTATAAAATTTAATTAATTAAAACAATTAAATAAAAGACTTTATTTTAAACTAAACAACTTATTATTTGTTTTAGGTTCAGTTTCAACCTTACACCTTGTTTGTAGAAATTCTTTAATTATTTTCTTTTCATTCTCGTTTATTTCAAAATCTTTTTTAACTATTTTAATCAGATCTTTAATAGTTATTTTATTTTTACCGAAAATTGTAGTGAGTTGTTTTTCTGTTAATCCAACCTTGGTTTTTTTAACATCATCAACTACTTCTGGTTCTTCTTTCTCTGTTATAATTTTCTGTTCTGGATTTTGTGAAAGTTCTTTTACTAGATTTGATATTTTCTCTTCATTGACATCAATTTGTCTATCTTTTTTTATTTTAATCACTTTATCATTATCTTCGTCATCATCGAATTTTTCATCAAAATCTATTTCTCGAGC